CGAAAGTACTATTACATAATGCATGCATGCGAAAGTATTACTTATATAAATGCATGCACAGAAGAAGTATTACTTACATGAATGCATGAATGCGATGCATGCATTGCAAACTATTACTTACAATGAATACATGGATACGAAAGTACTATTACATAAATGCATGCATGTAAAAATATTATTACATAAATACATGCATGCAAAACTATTGCTTATATAAATTCATGCATGCGGAAGTATTACTTACATAAATGCACGCTTAGGAAAGTGTTACTTATATAAATGCATGTATACGTGTGAAAATTCCAAGTTTTAATGAAATTAGACAAAATAATATTTGGACAAATTTTCTTTCAATTAAATTTTTTTTTCAACATTTCTACTTTATACCTTCATTTATTGTAATTTCGAAAATATAAAGTATTCCCTATTTTATAAATTTGTTTATTGAAAAAAAAACGAAAAAAACATGAAAATGATATAGAAAAATCAAACTATCTATTGCTTCATATTTTTACTTACTTCAATTTTGATATTTTAAACTATCGTTTAATCCTTTACTTATACTTTTACATATTTCAATTTTATAAATTCAAATCAAACAACAAATAAGATATTAAAAAGAAAAGAAACCAAAAATGTTTACCATTAATACTGTAATATTTATTCATTTTTCAATGGATCAATAGCAAAAATCATTCTTAAAACTTGCAAACATTTGAAATGCAAATTTTAATTCTTCTTTCATAGTGCAAACGGTGATATTTTGCATATCAATGCTTCTTTCAATCATTTCATACAATAAGGAAAGTTTTTTTTTTCCTTTAACCAAAAAAAGGACTTTTTTTTCATTAAGATTGAATTTTCCTTTTTTTTTGAAATATGTAAAAGATACAAAACAGAGGATAATTTAAATTTTGGAAAAAAAACATAAACTTTTCATTTTTTTGAATGAATAAATTTTCATTTACTCAAAAAACGAAATTTGTTAATTTTAATTTCAAATTCTTATTTGAAGCTATACGAGCAGCAAATATTTTTAAAATTTTTTTTGCTTAACTTAAATTTTCAAAATTGAAATATAAAGCAGTTTGAAATAGAGAATGAACATAGATTATTAAACATTTTCATCTAATAAATTCAAATGAAAAATTACATTTTTATTTCTCCAAATTCAAAAAAAAAAGACTAATGTCATTTCTTTGTCGCAAAAAATAGTTTTGACAGCAAAAATTTTAATTTTTAGTGAAATATTTAAAGCTCAAAATACTTTTCATTGAACTTTCCTTTTTTTCTTTGATTTCATCATTATGTTTGGTCTTTAAATATGCATACTAAAAATAAAATGTAAATCATCCATTTATTCGATTTCGAATTTGATTTTTATCATTGTCATTCGTATTTTAAATTACATTACATGCATTATAAATTACATTATTTTTATTACAAAAATTACGTTGCATGTATTTTGTATTTTAAATTACATTTGATAATTATATTTAAATTATACTTTTATCATCTATCGGCTTTCATTGGATTAAGCTGGAAAATGCACTGCCTTACCGGATGAGCCGGAAAATATACTCCAATATTGATCAATTTAAATTAGCAAGATAAAAAAGAACGAAAAGATATATGAGTTGAAATTTTCCGAAAAAACAGAAATTACAATAAATTTAATAAAACAATAAATGATTGATAAAACCATGATATTATATCATTTTTTCCGGAATATTTTCCTTTATTACATTGTTTCATTTCATTCTTCTCTTTTTATCCTGAAATTGCATCAAAAAATTTCCGGCTTAAATTGTAAACTTTTTGCAAATGATCTTTACCTGAATTAATCTGAAGTATTTGACAGTAACACATGGAAGGAATGAAACAAAAAAAATTAGGGAAAAGATATATAATTTAGAATTATAAAAATTAAAATTTTAAATATTTCAATGGAATAGTCAATAATTCAGCATTTGGTATATTTGAATTTAAAATTATAGTACTTGAAATGTTCAGGAGAAATTATATTTGATTTAAATGAAATTTCAAAGAAATATTTCATATTTTATAAAAATCTATATCTTCTAAGCAATATTTATATATTCTCATCGATGTATAATTCATGAAATCGATTGACTGACGATCAATTAAATGATCCAAGGATTATGCTATCGTTATTAATTGCTAATTAGGAATAAAATTATAATCAAAATGAGAAACATTGTTGCATTGCTAGCCGAAAAGGAAAAAAAAGGGATTTATTCTAAATTATTCTGTTTAATTAATTCATTACCAATATTGTTACTAAATTCGAATTAAATATCATTCATTTGGACATGGCTTTTTCTGTTTTACTTAAATGTCAAAATATTATTCTTTTTAATTAATTTATTTTTGTTTAATTTATTTTCCATAATTTAATTATTCTGTTTAATGTTAAATTAAATTATTCCATTTAATGTTTTGCTTAAAATTTTGTATCATATTAGCTTTGTTCATAGCCAATTATTGTTGATACGAAATGATAATTTCTTAACTCAATCTAATTTCATAGAGAAAAGAATTTATAAATGAAACATTTTGTAAATTATTTGAAAACATATTTTTAATCTTTGCCATTTTTTGTTCTATTTTGAAAAATTTTACTTGCTTAAAATGTAAAATTACTGTCAAAGTTTTGAACTTTTTGATTTTTAATCTTTAAATATAAATGAAATTGCAAATAAAATCACATAAATTTTAATAATTGTTTCTTTTTTCATTTCTTACTTTTTTCCCACTTTTTCATTTATTTGTTAATTGTATTTGTGGATAATTTTTAATATTAAATTAAATTTTTTTGCATAAATAAACATTTGACATTTTCAGTAATATTTCAAACTCAACATTTGTTACTGTATTTGTATGTTTATTTAATTAATAATTGAACTGAAATGAAATTTTTTGATTTTAATTTTTGTAAAAGAAAAATTCGTATGAGAAAAAAAAAAGGAAAAAGAAAAATAATTGAATGAAAAATTTGATATGTACTTAATAGTGGCATTTAGTACTTTTGTTGAACGGCCGTAAAAAAAAAAAAAAAAGCAAAAAGGCGAAGGCGAAAGGTTATTGCTAAAACGATATTTTATTTGCATTATGTGATTTATTTACTTATTTGTAATACAATGTATAGCTTAAACATTAAACAATAAAAGAAGGAATCGAATTTAATAAAATATTAAATGAGTAAATAAATTATTGAACAAATATTTTTCATTTAAATATTACAATTAAGAAAAAAAAACGAAACAGTTTATGCATATTAAATAAATGAATAAATAAAAGAATAAATTATTGATTAAATAAGTAAAAATTTTAAGTAAGCAAATAAACGATTGAAAAATTAGTTAAGTAATTAAATTGTCTGAATGTATTTATATTTGAAATCATTAATTAATTAATTAATTGATTAATTATAGAATAAATAAATAGGTGGAAAATAAAAGAAAATTTGATAAGGTATTATGAAAAAAAAAAAATAAAGAAATAAAATGCTTTTCTTTCAGCGTTTATTATTTTGTCAATCAATCCGACGAGTGAATTGTGTAATTGGCCGAACAGAACGACATGAGGTAGCATATATTGCACGTGAACCATCCGGTCAACTGTATAGAAGATTATGTCACCTATTTAGGACTAAGTCATCACATCAGGTTAGAGCTTTCATTTCATTACGTTTATTCGTTTTCATGAAATTTTCAAATTTTCAATTCATTCAAATAACAAATTTTTAGAAGTTGAAACGACAAATTTTTATAAAAAAAGAATGAAAATATATTAACGAAATAATTATTATTTAATTATTATTTTCAATATATTCAAATTTTAATCGATAAAAAGACATTGTATAAATAGGAAAAAAAATTGATATATACATATATCTATCTAATCTATCTATCTATCTATCTATCCATCTATCTATCTATCTATCTATTTATCTATCTATCTATGAAATTTTTATTAACCAATTCTTTAGTAAGTATCTTTTTGTAAATCATATAAATTTAAATATTTTAACATTTACCACCGGTTTGTCACAAAAAAAAAAAAAAGTTAACCGAAAAAAAAGACAAGTGTTTAAATTACCAAGAGGAAGACAAAAGTGTAAATTATCGAGAGAATGATGGAACTGTAAATTATCGAGAGAAAGACAAAAGTTTAAATTACCGAAAGATAAAAGTGTAAATTATCGAGAGAGTGATGAAACTGTAAATTGAGAGAAAGATAAAAGTGTAAATATCATATAAATATTATTCTATACAATAGATTCCTTCAATTTAATAAGAGAAATAAAATTTTGATTGATAAAATTTTATCCAAAAGATCAATCTTTCATTAATTTATTAATTTAATAGAATAATGAAAGC